AATTACATAAAAGAATGAATTGTGTTAAACAATTAAAGAGCACACCTGAAAGGAAAACAAGACTGGTCTCTTCTGGATTCCCTGCCTTCCTGCACGCAGAACATTACTATGAGAAAGGAGCCTCTGCTTTCTGTAAGATTCATTAAGTCATACCCAGGTAAGATAGTTTCATTGACTCGTGGATTTTCCTCATCTCTCTCACCCGAAGCAGGTCAAAATCTGAACTTTTTGGGTTTTGTTCTAGGTGTTAAAGGACTGAGTCACTAAACACCAATGTAGAAATACGGTTGTGCAAGATTAAAAGGGATGCAATAAAATATGTTTCCAGCCTTAATTTTCCAAAGCAGATAAGCAGATTTTCCCCTGCACAGAGGGAGCAAAAAAAGCACCATACGGTTATACTCTTCACCAGCATTCTGCTCTTTATGGATTTTTTTCTGCCAAGTGTTGCACTAAAATGTTGAGAGAAGGGAGGTCCTGTGATGGGAAGGGTGTGGAATAGGGGAAAATGCTGCTGGAGTGTATATGTATAGTATGTGTGATGATAGGAATACTTTTGAGTGTCCTTGTTGTCATAAAGATTGTAAGTTGTAAAGATGTTCAGAAAATTATTCTTGGGATCAAATAGGAGGGAAGGATTGCCGGTATGGTGAAGTGGCTTCGTAAGTGACAATGAAGAAACATCTTGAATTAATCTTAAGAGCCAAAACCTGGCCTATTGAATGTGATTCCAAAATCTCCTTGGCTAGGATTTCAGTTCTGGATTTGAAGTGAATTGAAAGGACACTGTGGGAGGAAGAGATGCACAGAATTGAATAAAGGAAAGACTATTTCCCAGTATAAGGTAGGCATGAGGGTGCCAAGTGAACTAATATACCTAAAAACACAGACCATTTATTTGTTTATGCTGCTATGACTACTTTAGGTCCAAATCCAGTAATTGTGTTGCTCCTTAGCCTTGAGTAGCCTCTTCCTTCCTGCTTCTTCTGTTTTTATTTTATTTTTGGTGTCTGTTTCTTTAATAGACTGATTTTTAGTATTTTAACCTAAAAATCAATAACAAGGTTTAGGGCCAAATTTTATTCCTCCTGATTATCAAATAAAAATTAAATTGAAAAAGCTACTTTGTCAAAAAGTCTGGCTTTTCTCCCCACAATTTTAAATAACCTACGTAGTTTTTAGCAATAACTTTGAAGACTAACATACAAAAATGTTTCTGTTAATGGGAAGTATTCTGTACTGTATAAGGATCCTTTGGACTTTATCGTCACCACAGCAAGAAATTAGGTGAGATTGTTTTGTGTCGGTATATAATAGTCATGACAGAAAACAATAGGAAAGGAAAGATTTAAAGGAGCACAAATGACAGTTTTTAAAATAATGACTCTCAAGAAGGCACTTTTGTTTGAAAAGTGTCAATTTTCTTGTTTCCAAACAAACACTTGAAAGAATTAGCCTTCATTAGAGTGCTGTTGCTCTCAATCCAATATGTGCTCTTCAACCCAAGTGGAGCTATAAAGGCAGCGAATGAAAAAAACTCGATTAAAATACATGATGGAAAATATTAATGGGCATCTGACAACCAAAGGTCTGCTGGGCCTCTCCACTCTAAATATTGTGTAAGCATTAAATTGCAGTTATGTAGCAACATACTGCTTTGGCTGTTACAAACAAGACCTTTTGAACATCTGTGATGGGCAGTGTTCCAGCTCAAGACGGAAGGATCCCTGCCTGCCAAACCAAGCTGGCAGTGAAGAAAGTGGGAGAATAATCTTTGTTATAATAATCAAATATATAATCAAAGCATTTGCTACTTCTTTGAATGAGTAGACTTAAGTTTTTTAGTTTATTATCTCAAGTTGATGTCATGTATAAATATATAGTTTCAGAGGTTCCACTAGGAAATTTTACCATTATTTTAGCTCTTAAAGTGCTAAACTCCAGTTGGCACATTAAGTTACATATTACATAATGTAGGAACTTCCATTAGCCCAGCAAAACAAGTACACAAATTTTGGTTATGTGTAGCTTTGGGCTTTAGGCTAGCAAGGATTAGGTTATATCTGATAGACTAGATTTACAAGCCACAGTCGCCAGAGGTCTTGGTGATCCCTGGAAAGGGGGCTGGTTACACAGTGCTGCTTCTCCTCTCTGTTTTTAGCTGCTAAATGATATTAAAAGAAACTGCAGATGCATTAAGTACTTTTATTCTTTTATGTGGCTTATTAATGTAATTGTCACAGGGATGTTTTGTAAGTATGCATGAGAATGAGGACAATCTGTGCACCTTCCCACCTATTTCTAATAGCAGTTGTAAAAAGTGGAGGTTCCTGAGATGGCTTCTTTTTCAAGATATAATTTACATGATGGAAAAAAATATGAGAACCCCTGTGGTATAAAAGAGGAAGGATGATCTTATTAAGACAGTGGAATAGAATTTGGAAGAGCTGACTTCAGTTTTTGACTGTCATAGCTTCCCTGTGACTGAAAAAACTGTTTCTTTATGACTGAGTTTCCTATGTACAATACAGGGCAATGATGCTATGGTAGTAGAGGATGGGTACAGTCTTAAGTTCATTTAAAGTATTATTTAATTCATTGAAGATTCATTAAACAATTAAGTAAATTCTTCAATTCTTCAGGTAGCTCAACTTGAAATAGATGGAGACGTTTCATATGGTAGATGCTAAGTGCCACATAGACATAAATTGAATTTAGCTTTCACAGCTAAACTTCCTAATCACTAACTAAAAGTACAAACAAACCTGAAAATCCTCTTAAGCAGAAACTTAAAACTAAATCAAATGCTTTATATAGCAGTAAAAGGAGAGGCAGTTTTAAATGGGTATGTTTTTTGAGCATATGTAGAGCTTCTTTTTAGAGCCTGATCAGATCCCTGCTACGTATGAGCCTCTGCATTAGGGTGTTGGATCAGGTCTTCAGCATTGTGTTTCCAGGCTGATCTGTAGTACATAAGTAGAGGGAATAATCTATCGTTAGGCTTCTGGAAATTCTAGATGAAATTCCATTCTCTTTGGCCACAGCAACAACTGAAGAGCAAAAAGAGCCAAGCTACCACTGGTAGTGGAGGGGAACAAATTGGAAAAGAATCAAATGATCATCCTTCAATTCAGTAAGTTGCTTATATATGTTAATAGTTTTTAAGTAGGCATTTATTAAGACAGAATACGTAATTGTTTCATAGTTTGTGAAAAAACAAAAACAGACACTAAAAACATGTATTTTTTATATTTTATTTCCCAAACTGCAATGCGTCCTCAGAGGTGTAACAGAGTAGTTTTGCACCCTGGGTTTCTACGTGCAGAACAAGCCATGTGTTGTGGTTTTGGGAACGTGATAGAGATGTCTTCAGTAGTTCTGGCCCCTTGCAGCCCTTCCACTCCATGGCACAGAGGGGTAGATTCTACAGTCCTCCCATAAGAGACAAGGCTGTTCTTGTCCTTACCTCTGTTGCTGAGGGAAGAGTAGGAGCCAGATTCCTAGAGATGTCACAGCAGGATGTCCTGGGCAAAATACCTAGGAAAATGTGTGTACAAATGGAAATGCAAAAGGTACAGGCATGGTTCAAGGTTTGGGAGACTGTTGCTCTGAAGTTCACAATAGGACTGATGGCTAGGAGCAGATGGGATGTACCTGGTTAATATGTTGTTTTTTTCCCTTTCAGGATCCTAAAGAAAGTAAAAAGTACCTTTTTAATTTACTCTCGTATCCAAAGATCTGTCTGCACCAATATGCACTCTTCTTATTTGGGGAAATTAATTTAAAAAACAAACAAAAAAACCCACTGGCCTGACACCTTATGTTTTGGTAAATGTTAAAGATGAAGTGTTATTCTTGGATTTATAAGGGTATATGTGCATGTTTCTAGTTGTGTTCCTTTATAAGCACAAAGTCATCTGAAGAAACTATTTTGTTGTACTCATTCTGTGAGTTAAGTTTTGTGTGAGAACATACTACACTAATTTTTTCATTACCTGTCAGTTTCTACTCTCACTTATGCTGATGAAATCTCAGCCTTCAGTTGGCATAAACAGACTCCACTATCTTTTCTAAAAAGGTTATCCTTCTCACAGAATGTTTTCTTGGAATAATTAACTTTTTTGTAAATTAGGGGTGTGTCCTTACATATGGCAGGAGCAACAATAGAGTACTACTTGCAAAAAAAAAAGTCAGTATTGCCATGTTGTGGTAGAACTCTTACCAATTTATGTGGGAGAACATGATGAAATCTTACTTTAAAACAAAATGTAAATATGAACAGGCAAAAATTAGCCATTTTTCCTCTGAGGAAAAAAAATGCTGTTTGCCTGCAAAAATGTACTTTAAGCTTTGCTGAAGAACAAAAAACATTTGTGATGGAATTCTCAAATGTTTAACTTGCTTTGTTATATTTGTGTTGTTTGTTGGGAATAAGGTTATATATCCTAGAAGGTTATTGTTAGGTTAATTAGTTCACAGGTATATGGTAGGTTAGAGATGTGCCATGTTTGTGAAGTGCCAAAGATACTAGTAAATGTCACATGCCCAATTTCACATGCACTGGTGGGAAAATGTAATCTATGTGGCTAAGAGTACAAGTTTTTCACTTTGAAATTTTTGTATGTAAGAGAAGTTGAGGTAGTATTCTTCCTTTTCTAGGATTAACAATTTCCATTTTTTTTTCTGAGTAAACCAAAGGTAACTGATCTAGGAAGCGATAATATTGAAATAATGTAATATTAGATAATGTTGCAAAGAAAACTGGGCATCTGTCTATACTGAAAGAAGAAAAAAAAAGGAATTGTAATACAGAAGTATCAGAAAAATCATGTAGTTCCACCATGCCTGTATACACTTAATATTTAATTTGCCTGGTTACAGCAGTACCCAGATACCTATACCTCTACCATAAACTATGTGTAATCATTCATTAATTCATACATTTTTCAAAGCATGTTCTGTAATTGGGAACTTATTTAGGTTTTTTTTGATGGTTTTAGAGCGTTCATATTTTGGAGCGGAAGGCTTCATCTGGAAGTACTGATCAATCTATAAGCAAGCAACTACTGGAAACAGATCCTGTCTCTCTATCAAAGGTAAACAAATGAATCTGACACTGTTTCAACCTTCCATACTTCTATAATAAAGGCTTTAACTATCAACTTTTTCATGATGGCTTTAGTAGCTGGGCTATCAAGTATGTTCCGATCATAGCCCTACAGTTTCTGGTTCCTCAAATGCAACTGGATTCAAGTATGCCTTAACACATTGGAAGAGATTATTTTTGGTAGAGTTTTTAGTAACAAAATTTAAGTTTTTTATTTCATTTCACTTCAAATGGAAGATATCACTAAGAAGAAGTACTCACATTGTTACTAGGAATAGTGTCCTAAATCACTGATAAGAACTGGGGGTGGATTTAGGAGGGGGCACTGATGCATTTGCACCTGCTCCCTCCTCCTCCTCCTCCTTCCCCCTGCTTTGATTCCTGTTCTACCCAGAGTTTAAAACCAACTCCTGGCAGTAGCAGCAGCATTTCTAGTCAGGCAGTGCTGAGGGAATCAGTTGTTGTTTCATATGTGATCATGCACCTCACCATCTACATCCCATTTTCAAAATTCTAGATCTGTCCATGCTAATGATGTTGTTCATGAAAACACAGCAGATGTGAGATTCTCCTTTATTAGGCAGTTTTAGCAGGGAGAAGTAGTTTTACTATGGAAGGCTAGGACTGCCCAAAAAGTCTTGGGGGAGACCTGTCTTCCAGGGTAGTATTGACTAATACAACTGGAGAGGCAACACATGCAATCCCTGGAAGAGGGAATTTTTGGGTGTATAGCTTTACAATAGACCTCTCTCCGGTTGACTTTGAAGAAATACTGATAAATTCTGGAAAGACTGCAAATACAGCTGGGAATCGTTGTTTGACAAGTGCATTCCAGCCATATCACTTTTACTCCAGTCACACTTCTCTTTTTTCTCTCTGTTTTAGCACCTGGAGGGTGGAGGTGGGGATAGAGTGGTACAAGAGCCCTTTTGGTAGTTTCCTATTGGATATGCACAGATTATAGTGAGCCTCATTGCAAGAATCAGGATTAATGGTCTGATTATGAACTTTTTGCACCAAAATATATCTACCCATACTGCACAGGCAGTCCTTGACTTACAACGTTTCACACTTACAATGTTTATAAATTGACATCCCATTTCAACTTTCTGACATCAGTTTTGACTTTACAAGTCTTGATCCGATGCCATGCCATGCCAGCGAACAAGTTCGTTGCATCACCCATCTCCCTGGAGAACTTCCTGTCCAAACTTCCTTGGACACTTTCTTTAAGAAAGCAGACAAGACTCCAGAAAAACCTGCAGCCAAGACTCCTGAGGAGACTCCAGCCAAGAACCCTTCAAAGAGTCCAGCCAAGAGCCCTTCACAAAGTCCAGCAAAGTCACCTCAAAGAAGTCCTTCCAAATCAATATGATTGCTATTTACAATATAAATACATTAATGTAGCTATATTACTCATCTGTAATTGATAGAGTACAAAATTCTGGGGTATTTTGGGTGAAAATAGGTATCAGGCCTTGGTTCAGGAACCAATCCCATTTATAACATTGTTTCATATGAGAAAATTGGTTCCGAGTTACAACGTTTCAACTTAAGACAGTTTTCAGGAACCAATTGTGTTGTAAGTCCGAGGGCTGCCTGCATACATATATGTATGAGTTCTTGTTGAAAAATACTTCTTGCTGAGGTGACCTTGCAACAGCAAATCTTGTAAAGGAGAAATTAGTGTTGTGGAGAATCAGTAGATACAGGTTCAGAAATTCTGTACTTACCTCCTCAGGATAATTGGTTTAAATCCCCCCCACGCCCTCAACTTGTAAGTGTGTATTAAGGAGAACCTTTGCAAAATAAGAGTTCTGTGATGGGAGAAGAAGGAATAACCATCCCAAAGTAAGCATATAAAAACAAACTGCTGCTATTCCTCAAAAAGTATGCTACACACAGGCAAGAACTGAGACATGCTAGTTAAGGTTTCTGTAGAGAAAGCTGAATTAGGAATACACTTGCAAGAAAAATTGCTTCTGTTATTACTTTTTTGTTTAAACGAGTGGTATTTGACCTTTTTTCCCAGCGAGCCATATGGATAATGCCAGGTGCATGCTGATCCAGGTCGTGGTCCTGGTTCAGCACTAGGGGAGGGCATGGCAGGGACCCCTTTGGCTGAATGGAGGGGGGCAGGGGGACAGCCTGACTGTAACCTGGCCCTGCAAAGGGGAAGGAGGACAGAGGATGTGACCTAGTCTAAACCTGGCCCTATTGGGGGGAGGGGCATGGGCCTTGGCCCAACCTCGCCCTGTGTGGGGAAGGGGGCATGACCTGACCCCAAACCCACCCCATGCGGGGGGGTTGGGGGCGGGAGGGAGAGGGAAGGAGGTATAGCCTGGCCCCAAACTGGCTCCAAAGGTGGGGTGGAAGGGGCACAGCAGCCCCAACTGGCCCCATGGGAGGTAGGAGGTAGCATGGCCCAGCTCTGACTTGCCAGGGGGCTTGAGGTTTGGGGATTTGGCAGTGGGGGAGAGTGGCTGTACTAATTACCACCACTCCCCTGCTGCTAAATTTCCCAACTCTTGGGGAATCCTCTGCACTGGATGCCAGTGCTCCATGGATTGCGTTTGCCCCACAGGCCAAGGTTGAGCACCCCTGATTTAGACCACTGTTTCTTAACCTTGTTTTGTTTTAAAGTGAAATATTTTTGTGATATGCAACACTTACTGTAAAATTAAGAGGGCACTAGAAGATCAGTGATAGCTGGTAAAAGTATAAGTATCCAAGAAGTGTCTTACTGGGTCCATCTAGCTCAGTATTGTGACAGTGGCAAGTGGGAGATGCTTTAGAGGGAGAATATATGAATAGGACACATCTAGAGTGATTCTTCCCTTCTCATACTGCCCCTGGCAAAAACCATAAAACTCACTTGAGTGCATGTTTTGAGTGGTTGACAGGGAATAAGTTTCTTCCTTTAGATTATTGTATATTTTTAGTGCCTTTTGACCTTCCTTGTCCCCTGATCGCCTTTCATGATTCCGTTCAGTCAGACACACAAGTTGAGAAAGCATTTTGTTTACTTCATAAAAGTGTTGTTATATTTAAGCAGAGCTTGCTGATCAGAGTGGCCATAAGTTAAAGGCAATACCCTTACAATCTTTGCACAAATACTTCATATTTTTTATTTTCTTTACTGCCATGTTTCCAACATAGTGTGCCAGAATTCTGGTATGACTCATGTACATCAGGGATGTCAAACTTATCTGGCCTCACAGACTGAACGAGTGGTGTAGTGCTTGTCCATTTACCTCCCTCCCCCACCATGCTGGATCCAGTACATGCAGTGCCTACTCCAGCCGGTCTGGGGTTGTGCTGTACCCAGTACCTGTGCAGGCTGGTATGAGATGCACACCTCATGCGGTGCCCACTCAAGCTGGTCCAGGACCTGTGCTGCACATGGTGTGTGCCCTGGACCAGGGCAGGTACTGTGTGTGGCAGAGTCCCGGATCCACTGGAGTGGTTTCCACATTCAGTTTAGTCCTGCTTGAGCCAGAGAAGGTGCAGCATGGTCCCAGGCCCTGCATACGGGGCTGGTCCAGTGCATGCCATGGGCTGCATGCAGCACCAGTGGCTAGATGATAGGGCTCTGCAGACTGGATTTGGTCTGCAGGCTGTATCTTTGACACCCTTGCTGTAATCATAATTCATGATGACTGGTAAAGTTGACTGGGGGAAGTGGATTGCCTACCTTCAAACACACATAAATATGAGAACTAGTAGAGTACATACATTAAGAAATGATATAGAGCACATCAATTGAATCCTCATATTTACATTTCTTGTAATGCAATGAAATTTTACAGTAGGAAATTTTAAAAGAAATTACATTTTTCCTAAGGCACAACTAACTTGTAAAACTCTGGAATAATATATCATGGAAGGAAACACAGAGTCTAAAGTGGTTAAGAAGGACTTGTCTCATCTAGTTATCACATGCTGTATAGCTTGATTATTAGTCAACCCCAAATATAAATTCACCCTGCATTTTAAGGTTCAAGTTAAGGAAAAATAGATGTGTACATTTTAGCACATGTGCTTTGATTTTCAAATATTTTAAAATTTAAGATCAGATGTTTTTAGTTTAGGGCTAGACATTTTTAAGATCATTCATCTTTTCTGGATAATAAATAGAAAGGCACTGTGTTAGGGAGTAGGGGAGAAAGTGTGATATGCCGAATTATCCTCTCCAGCATGTTGGCAGTGGTGCATATGACCCTGTGCACATGCTTAAATCAGTGGAATGTCGAGTGGTCCCACATGTATGTTGATTGTGACTTTTATTCTTCTTTTTGAGCAAAAGCAGGGCAGATCTAAAATTTGGAGCGATTCAATAATTGGCTATTTTAGATGGTTTTTTACACATTCCTTAGTAAAGGTTGGCTTTGACTGCTGTCAGGGACAGGAGACTTGACTGGATGGACCACTGGCTTGATTTGCTCTGGGAATGATGAACATGTCTACACTACAAACTTGCCATCCCAGATATTAGTGTCCTCAAACATGCTTCACTGCTGTATTGCTGTTGACAGTGTTCATCACTCCAGCTGCAACACAGAGCAAAACTGAATGCTGCTTTCAATTCAAGAGGTAGCCCCTGCAGATCATTACAGCAGGTTTGAATGTGCTGCTGTCTCACAATAAGTGCACTGTATACGTGTCCTGTGTTTCTGTGCAAACCTGCTAATATGTGCCCATAATTTACCCATGAATGTGCTTCAGTTCTTTGCATAATACAGTATTTCTAGGAGAAAGAATAATCTATATAAGGGTTATTGAGTAGTGACTGTTGGTGAATCCAGAAGTGTAACTTGCAGACCATGTCCTTGCCTCCTTCACCCTGTTAAACCCTTCTGTAGATCTTGCCATGAAGCATTCACAGAGAAATACCTGTACAGTTTTCTCAGTGGTCAAAACTGTGGAGGAGACCTCTTTTGTTCTGTGCTTCTGCTTCTGTGTACAGATTTGCTAGAGTACACATCCTGATCACAGACTTTGACTTGATTTCCATATTATACTTAGTGTGAATTGCCAGTTCATAGGGCACAGTCCCATCTTGTTCAAATTGGAATGTACAAATAAAATAAAAATTATTGCCTGATTTAATGGGTCAGATATTTTAAGAGCCCACTTGTATTTCATTGCCTGAATAAGGGCCATATTTCCTGAAGGTTCTCAAAACCTAGCAGTTCCCAGTACTCATGGTCATGTTTGGCATAGACTAACATCCTGAGCTCTTTTGAAAATCTGACTACGTATTTTGATGCCTAAATGATTGCTGAGCTCATTTGAAAGTCTGTCTCCCAAGCATGTGTTGAGTACTTGAAAAACTGAGCCAGGTAGTATGGATAGTTTCATAAGATATATGTATTATTATTACATGGTAAATGTGTTTTATACTCTCCTCAGGAGCCTGACAGCTGGGAAATTATAGAGGGACTGAAGATAGGGCAGACTAACGTCCAGAAGCCAGACAAACATGAAGGTTTCATGCTGAAGAAAAGAAAATGGCCTTTAAAAGGTTGGCACAAGGTAAATATATCATAGAAAACTCAAGGGATTGTAAGTCTGGGCAATTAAAAAAGATGTGGAGAAAAACTTAGAGAAAAAATTGTACTTTGCATGCACAAGAACATGCGTGCGCACTCCCTCCCCTCCCCCTTATATATATCTCCACACCTATATATTTATGTGTGTATGCATGTATTTTTTCCTTCCGAGGATGTGAAGTGTTGGTTGTATACACAGCCTTACAGCCTCCAGTTTAGATTACTGTAGTGACTGCTACATACATAATGATATACTTCAAGGCCAGTTTAAAGCAATAGCTAGAGGAGCAGGTATTTAATTGCTTGGAAAAATTAACTATATAATAACTAACACCTCTTCTTCATATTATTGATTTCTAAATGTTTACCAAGGTGTTTATTTTGACAAAATAAAGCTCTACCAATAAAACTCTCTCAGATTGCCTCCACTGCACAATGCTTCATGGAAACAGAAATAAACTAAGGGGCTTTTGAAAACTCTTCAGATTTAAATATTTGGGACTGGGCAAGATGTTCTTAAGGAAGTGCTCTTATAGTGGAATTTGCTTCCCTTTCTGCCTGCAAAAGGTATAATGTAAAATGCTCATCTCAGGTGGACCTATAAAAGTGTAAGCAATGGTGTGGCACTATCTTGAGGAGGCAGGCAGTTTAATTTTTATTGGTTGTGTGTGTTTTAATTGTTAAATACCTATGTTGCCAAATAATCATGTGTGCTAGGATGGGCATAAGATATTCTATCATTCAGCTACTAGTTGCTCAGTTGGCTTATATGGCCACCTATTAAATAAGAGAAATAGCTATATGGCTACCTCTTGGCTGAGAAAGTGCTGTCAGAAGAGGAGAGCTGATAAAGAAACAACCTAATGGGATGTGTAAGAAAGTATAGGATTAGGCAGATTCCCTTATCTTGATATATGCCAGGTTAGGCTCCCTTGCACTGGTATGTGTAATTTTAAGGGACTCCACCAGATTTAGTTTAACGAGTTTACTTGACTTGGTTTATACATTACTTCTGAAGGAGAGTTTGTGAACCACCTTCCTCACGTGGATAAACAATTACTCATGCTGATAGTTGATTCTGAATGCGAGTGTCTTAGATGCAGGGCATTCATGATCTGGCCGTAGGTCTTTATCTGTTTTACATTTCACATACAAATATGACCTCAATTTGTATTACAGGATTGTGGATTCTAAACGATTTTAAGGTATTGGCTGTATGATGTGCAGCCTCTGTAGGAATGCTATAGAGTGCACTTGTATGAAAATTCACAAGGCAGTAAGTGCTGTATCAGTAATTCACAAGTGATAGCCTAATAGTTATAACCTAATTTTGTGCATGTGGCACAGGTCATTCTGAAGGATCTCAAAGTGTTTTGGTAATATAACAGTGTTTGGAATATTAAAATTGATGTATTACTTTAGGCAGCTCAGAAATGCAGCAAGCTGAGGAGTGAAATTCTCCAAGTGTTTCTCTGCAAAGTTCAACGCTACACAACTGTTAGAATAGGAAATGAAGGAACAACACTTTATTCAATCAAAAATTCAGGAGAACTGTAGGGACCCTAAATTAGATGACACTAATATGACTATTCTTACAATGCTAAGGGATCATTAGTGACCATAAGTAGTTAAAGAAAACATGTTTTCATGTCATTCAAGAAATTATATTTCCAGCAACATGGTATCTTCTCATACCATGTGAGACATTGGTGCCACCTGCTGAGTCATTGAAGCAGCATCAGCAGCTGTTTCCAGAGATCTTTTCTCCAAATATAGACCTTGTCCATGCTGATAAGAGTTAACAGTCTTACAACACAAGAAGTGTGTCTTTCCTTTCCATCTGTGATTCTTCAGAGGGTTTGTCCAAAGTAGGATAAAATGTATTTTTTTAATCTGTTGTTTAAAATGCAGTAATATACAACTTGTCCTTCTTGCACAGGATTTTTAAAATGAGTTGGGGCCTATCTAGGCTAGGCTGTAAAGAAGTGATGTTAGCATGTGCTAACATGACATGTTTTAAAAACCTACTTCAAGGCTGGCATCCAGCCCATGAGCAGTTAAAAACCTTGTTCAGGTCTGTCCCATTGACAGTCTGTGGGTTGCAGCATCACCAGAGCTTGTACTGCCTGTGGTGATGACAGCAACAGGGGAGGTCTTGTGCTGCCCACATGATGGTGAGGGGGAACAGAGATTGTATGGGCCACGTGGCAAGGGTCCTGGAAGCCCATGTGACATGTGGTCCATTCATTGTGTGGCTTGGCACCTGCAACTGGTATGGCATGCAGCCCCTGGCCACTCAGAAGTTGGACAGCTCTGACCTACTTAATATTAAGTGTACACAGGTTAAGTTAGCTTAGTTAAGGCCCAGGAATCCCCCAGACTTCATCTTGACCAACTGGGGGATATTAAAGTCCTCTCTAGTTTGTCCTTAATACAGTTTCAAAATGTGTTAATTAACACATGCCAATAACATATCTTATGTCCTAGTCCAGACAAATCCTCAGACCTGCTCTCTGCCTATCCCTTGCAGTGGCTGAGGTTATGTCTACCCAGCAAAATCAAGGTGAGATTGTAGTACAGAGAGTTATACCTATGATGGACGTAATTTAGCTAACCCAAGTTACAATCACAATGAAGACATAGGATCACAACAAACATCCTCAGGGTCCCTAGAGAAGTTGTGGTCTAGTGACTTTTTCATCTGAAACCCATACCATCCCATCTTCACTAATTTTGTTAAAATGGTATGCCAAAACGTCAGCCTTATGAACTGAAAGTAAGAAATTATCCTCAAATACTGATTCTTCCTAAGAAAATTTGTGGGAACAAAGTTTGGAAAAGGAAAGAAACCAACCTGTCTTTGCTTACAAGATGTTTGGTGCCAAAAAGAAATGAATGCAGGTAATGATGTTTGTAGTACTGGGTGCTGATTACTAAGGGCTGTGGAATAACAACTCTTTCATAGATGAGTTATTTTACATAGTTAAAAAGCTGTTTGATCACTAAGAAGACACTGTCTCCTTCTTTTCACACTGCAGCGTTTTTTTGTCCTGGATAATGGCATGTTAAAATATTCAAAGTCACCAATTGACGTAAGTATAACTGAAGTATACCTGGATATTTAATCCATTGTTAAAGTTGGATCAAAAGCTGAGCCTACTGTGTGATTAAGTCTCATTTGTATGCTTTGGGAACTTAAGGTAGCACAAAGTTGAGTATTGTGGCTGCTGGGTTCAGAATGGAGCACACTGCTTTTTGTGGCAGAGTTCTGTGCATGTTCTGCATGGCTTGAGCCTTACAGATGAGAGGTGTAAGGCCAGGATAGCTGCTTCCCCTTACAGTGTTCTTCCTAATAATCCTGCATAAACTGGTGTCATTGCAATGCCATCCCACTTTACTCACTTACCTTCCCTACAACTTTGGAGTGTGGCTTATGAGGAAACCAGGTTAGTGCACAAGGCATTGTTCAGGCTTTCAGAAATGAATCTAGTCACCTATGAATCCAGTATAACCTGAGTGTGAAAGCTAGAACATCTCCAGAAGAGGAAGGAATCTCTGCAGGTAAAAATTAAGTTACCAATATTCTTCATGGAAAATAATACACAGGAGGGAAGACATGGTCTAAAGTTACTCTTTTTTTATTCTGAGGTAAGATAGATCTAGCCTTGTTACACCACTAAAGAGCAAATTCTGTTCACCTGAGGATCCTAATTAATACAGTAACAGACACAAAGAAAACATATAATTAAAACCTGGTTGGCCAGGGATTTAAGGATTATTTTTCTATCTCGTTTACAATTAAATATGATGGGTGAGAAATTAAGACTAAATCTATGTCCACTGAAACTGCCAGCTTATGCCTGTGGCCTCTTTTTAATCAATTCAGCAAGTTAATTACATAGATAATCGTTCTGAATATTACTCAAATACAGCTTCTACATTTCTGTTTAAATGTGATACGTTGTGGATGCTCCAATTTCTTGGAGTTAACCAACATGCATTTTAGGCCAATTTCTGTCCTTCACTCTGTTTATAGTAAGAGTGTCTTTCTTTGGCTGAGAAATGTGTGTATGAGCAAACTAGAATATAGTAAAGATCTGTTCCAGAGAAGAAATTTCCCTCCACTGACTTGTATGAAATAGTAATTTATTTCAGAAAGTGCCTTGACTGATTAGCTTGACTGATTAGCTCTTTACGATAATTTTTAACTCTTTGCTTTTGATGTTAATAAAAATCAGTAATTCAAAGTAATGGCTTTGTCTCCCTGCAGTCATCTTGTAGAGGTACTAGGGCTAGCTTTAAACCATCTAATTGGGGTACTGACAGCAGTCTAGCTGTGGCAGGACAGAATTCAGGTTGCACTTATTTACCTTGTTTCCCATGTACCTTTTAGTTATACCATTGTATAAGCCAGCAAGGCTGTTTATTGGAATTGACCCTGTAATGAGCTCTCCTTGGAAGAGATTCTCTTTCTGTAAACAAACGAGGAATCCTGCTTGACTATACTGTTTAACATTAAAATCTTCTCTACTGCTACAGCACTAAGCATATATTCAGTTAGAGACAGTAAAGAAGGTTTTGATGTTACTAATCTCTTCACATGTCTTCTGATTACAGATACAGAAAGGCAAGGTACATGGAAGCATTGATGTTGGTTTATCAGTTATGTCAATTAAAAAGAAAGCTCGTAGAATAGACCTTGATACAGAAGAGCACATATATCACCTGAAGGTGAGCAATAGTGAAACCAATTTTTCTTCTCTTTTTATTAATAAGGCAAATGTTTAAATAATAGGTACAAGGCATGAAGAGAACCATGATATCTTTCTGAATGTCTTGTTGACTCTGACCCTTCTTTTAGGTGAAGTCCCAGGACTCATTTGATGCATGGGTGTCAAAATTGCGCCACCACAGATTGTATCGTCAGAATGAAATTGTAAGATCACCAAGAGATGCTAGCTTCCATATATTCCCTTCAGGCTCTACTACAGAATCTTCACCAGCTGCTAATGTTGCTGTATTAGACGGAAAGGTATGTAGCATCCCTTCTCTGGAAACTTAACTTAAAATTAATGTAATATTTATAACTGGCAGATTCCCTGATGAGTACTGCTGGTACATGCTGGTGTGGCTTGCCAGAGAAGGATCACCAACGTGGGTACCACCGCTGCAGCTTTCATTAGTAGGTCTTCTTTACAGATCCCAGTAGAGCACTAAGCTTCCCATTAAAGCTATGCATACTCTTCTTAGCCAACAATGATTGATTTGGCCTTTTATTGTTGTATAATGATTGTCTTCATCAAAACTGTTTTTCCTCCCAATGGTCAGCAAGTACTGTTTCTTTATGGTGCCTCATGTTTCCTTTTCAGTACACTGTTGTAAAATGATGCGTCTCAAGGCTTGAAAAATGGTGTCTTGTATGCCATTTAAATTCAAGTATATAGTTTGGTATTTCAGAGTAGAAAATGTAGACTGTCGGTCATCAGTATATCCAGTTGTGTAGTGGGGGGGCAGGGAAGACGGGGCAGGGGCAGCAGCGCTGGGGATCACCCTTGTCGTGTCGTGGTGGGGCAGGGGGTTGGGGTGGGCATAAACATAGCACTGCAGCAGTTGGTGCTGCCCCAGGTGTCACATGGCTGCCTGCAACATGGAGCTGCCTGGCTTTGCATCTGTGTATATCAGCACATTTTAAATGATCTTGTTTGTTTTAGGTACAACAAAATAGCTTCCCATGGCAATCTCCTATACCATGCAGTAATAGCCTTCCTGCAACATGTACTACTGGTCCAAGCAAAGTAGCAGCTTGGCTACAGGACTCAGAGGAAATGGACAGATGTGCAGAAGGTCAGTCTCACCTGTGCAAGCCCTTCTTTACAAGATAGATTTCTTGCTCATAAACAATAAAGAACTAAGATGGTTAAAAAAAATTATATATAATAGCCCTTTAAAATGATTAGTTATCATTGCATGTATCGTGTTTGGCTTTTATTTTTTTATTATTTAACAATCTGAAGGGATAAACTAGGTCATGCTCTGCCTTTTCACCCTGAAGTTGATCCTCAATCAGGGTGCCCATGCAGAACCCTACAGTGCCTTAAGAGCCTTTCAAGGGCAACATGCAATATTAGCACTGGGAGGGGTACAAGCATGATTTTCAAGATAGGAATCCATAGTTTTAAAAACGTTCTCACCTGTTGTGGTCTCTTTGAGTTCTTTGCAACAGGGTAATTGCTCTATTATTTTTCCATAGTCAAAAAGCAGGTAAAAGCTAAGAGCTGGAATTTTTCTGAGAGGTACTTGCAAGTCTACAAAGGTTGGGAACCACTGATCTAGTGAGATGAAGAGGTGCTCAGCATTTCTGAAAATCAGACTACTTGTTTAGGTGCCAAAGGCAGAATTAAGTACCTAATTCTGAATACTCTAACTTTAAGATTTAGCCTTGTTGTTCATCTAAAATTTACTGCATCAAAAGCACTAGACTAAATACTTATGGGTTTTTTTATCTTTAAATAATATAAATGGCATAGTTTGACTTTAATTCACTTCAGTCTCCCAAAACATGAAATATAGTAAAAAGCAGAAGGAAAACAGGAAACTTGCTCTTGATCTATTATTGTTCATGGTTTAGACTTTTTCTGGCAAATGTTATTCAGATATCTTCATATGTCTAACAAAGCTTAATGGCTGGCAGAATTAAATATGCAGTGAATGAAATGACTGGTAAATAAAGAAACTCGGAAGAATAACAGGCAGTGAAGATCACTTTCTGAAGCAAGTTAATCAGCCAGTGTCAGCATAAATCTGATACCTAATAAAGATACTTAAATCTGAGTGGTTGGAGTCTTATAAGCAAATATAGGCAAAGTTGCCGCCGGTGCTTATCTGCATGTTAAATGTAATGCACATGCGTAAGTGTTGGCAGGATTGGACCGGAGTTGCAGCAGACCCTGCTGACTTATGGGAGCAGAGAAGACTATGGCTCCCTGCAGGCTGCACAGGAAGACGGAGAGCAGCCTTTTCTGGTGCCCCTCCTAGTTCCATTGTGCAGAAGGATGAAAGTAACAATTGGTTTATAATCCTCATTATGAAAACTAGACAGGATCAAGGAGCTAATGCCAGTCTTTGTTTTGTGTTTATAGTTTTGTGGTTCCGCTGACATGTGATACCATAGTAAAAAATGTCACTGAGCCAAAGTACCTAATATGTTTTCTTTTCATATATATTAGACCTTGCACACTGCCAGTCAAATCTTGTGGAACTTAGCAAACTTCTTCAAAATCTAGAAATACTACAGAGAACTCAGTCAGCACCAAACTTCACTGACATGCAGGTACGTGTATTTGAAAAACCGGTTCAGTTGCACTCATCATTAGACATCTGCAGGTTTGAAACATTTTTCTCTGTATGTTAGGGGATATGCAGAGATACTTTTAAGTCAGACTAGTTTGTGTTCTGGAGTCAATATCCACACACACTCTTGTACTTTGGACTGTACCAGTATAAACTTTGAAAAACATGTTTCTGATAAAAAGATTATTTTATTAATTGGTGGCTGGTTTTGGTTATGTCCTTTGTTTAATCAGGGTCAAAACTTGCTGAGAATAGAAATAAAAATAAAAGTAAGTAACATCGAAAGTATGCTCAATTTTGGCAGTTTGCTTTATAAAGTACATTTACATAACAGTAAAATGTAAACTTTAAAGGGGAGAAGAGACCCAAACCAGCAAGTTGTCAGACCTGCCTTGTGCTTTTCCAGCAAATTGTGAGAGTTGTTGTTGCTCAGCATTTGCATTATGTTGATAATTGGAAAAGGAAGAGGCCAGATGATGTACCAAACATCTGGTGATTTTTGTCATGGACTTCAGTGACAGCAACAAGTCCATAATTCTGGATCGTTTTTACCTCGTCCTTACTTATGTAAAACACTCTTTGAATGCAATAGGGATGACGTTATGACCCCACTAAAGTGAAAGAAAGTGTTGCCATTGATTTCAGTGAGGCCTAGTTTTCACTCAGTAATAAGAGTAAATAGTGATTTAAGGATTTAGGATTTGGCCCTAAATATTATGTGCTAACAAAATATACTTAGAATATTGTTATATATAGTCAGATCTATGCAGCCAATTTGTTTCTAATGTAAGTGGTTTTACGTTAGT